TTTGCCTTTGCCACATGTGGAAGTTAACCCCAGCGGCTATGAGAAGTGTGCACTGGCACAATGCCCCTGGACATGCAGGCGACGAGGTTCATGATGTGTCGTACCCGTTGTGGAATAAAAGGGCAAGTAACTTGTCCTGCTATTTGATTTGCACTGTCAGGATGCACATGGGCATGAAAGCAACCAGGTGCATAATATGTAGCAGGACGAATTACATTCTGACCAGGTCGGGAAATTCCAGATATATTTAGTGGCACAAGTGGACCCGCTGCAGACGAATTACATTCTGACCAGGTCGGGGAATTCCAGATATATTTAGTGGCACAAGTGGACCCGCCTCAGCGACGCTGCGGCACAGGAGCAGGCAGGAGGGGAACGGGGCGAGAGGGAATGGTCTTCTGTTTGCTGTTCAAGAACCAAGCATATACAAAGCAGGAGAGTCACTTGTGTGAGATGAGGCCATACGCAGAAATTGCCCAGGAACAAACCGGGAGCAAGCATACACAAAAGACGAGAGAGGCTGGGGGAAGGAAAGAGAGGGAAGAAAAGCAGAGAGTTCGAAGTCCAGTAGGCCAACGGGCAGAGCAGTTAGAAGCTGAACGAATGGAATTTAAATCGCTAAATATCAAATGAACTACGAACGTGAAAATTGTCTCCACACACACACACACACAGAGTCCATCTCCAGGGTCGTGTGTGTGTGTGTGTGTGTGTGTGTGTGTGTGTGTGAGAGAGAGAGAGAAGCCGAAACCGAGCGCGCCTTCGCGTCGCGTCCGTCCTTGGCACACGACTGGCCAGCAGTGACACCGTGTCCGCCTCAGTCCGCTTTTCCGCTCCTTTTCTGTCGTTCCCGCTGTCTTCTTCCTATTCCTCCAGCCAGCGCACCTTCCCGTAGAGGATCGAACAGCGTCCTTTTCTCTCGTTCCCACTGTCTTCTTCCTATTCCTCCAGCCAGCGCACCTTCCCCCCACCACCACCACCACACACACACACGCACGCGCGAGTAGTAATGTATATTTTGATGTTCTAGCAGTAGATTCGTTTTATTTTGCTCATCCTATCGATGGAAGTGCCCTCTCTCTCTCTCTCTCTCTCTCTCTCTCTCTCTCTCTCTCTCTCTCTCTC